CACCTGTGAATATTACCATTGTTACACATATTATATCATAAAATGCTTAATGTCAATGAAACTCAAAAGGACAAGGGTTCGATCCTCACGACAGAAGAGAGGATATCATTGCGACGAATCCTCTGAAATTTGCTAGAAGTCTGAAATGGCAACACAAATAGAGAGTTCCATGTGTCTGACACAACTCTCTCGGAATCGTCCCAAACTTTGTGCTTCGTGGTGAAGGTCTTCAACACTTCATTGCGCAATCCATGCAGGAAGACTGAAAGCAAAACATCATTCGCGAAATACAAACTTAATACTGACATAACAATAATTGATTAAACCATCACTGCTGGGTAGGGAGGGGTTGTCCTCCAATACATATAGAGCGGGGAACCCCAGGAAAAAACTGAAATATGTATCGTATCGCATAACAACACCGTGAGACACGGTCAAGCAGTCTGCTTGACCGTGTCTCACGGTGTTGTCGCTTGCAGATTTACTTATACTTCTTCAACCCTGAAGATGGGGGCGATACGTTCCTCCGAAACGTCGGTTAACACCACATATACACGGTGCCAAATCCCAAAAGACTGCTTTCTACATAAAAATAAACTGCACAAAAAGAGGCTTGACTATAGAAAGGGAAAAAAACCTGTCATTTATGTATTAAAAATAATTTTGTGTATTAATTTTTTAGAGTTTATTTTTATTTTGCTCAATTAAAATTTAGTTGGTTTTGAAATTTCCAAACCGGACTATAGTGAATTCGGACTGATAGAAGCCGGACTATGTGAGGCACTGCTGTATCGGTGGAAGGAGTCTATTATTGTACCAGTTCACAAGACGGGTGATAAAACTGACTGCAGTAATTAACGTGGGATGTCACTGCTATCAGCTTCATACAAGTTGTTAACCAATATTCTTCTCTCAAGGTGAAGTCCATACATAGATGAAATTATTGGGGATGGATCAACTATTGATTAGATCTTTTGCATTCATCAGATACTGGAGAAAAAATGGGAGTACAATGAGACAGTACTTCGGCTATTCATAGACTTCAAGCAAGCCTATGATTCAGTTAAGAGGGAAGTACTGTACAATATTCTGATAGAGTTTGGGATACCCATGAAACAGGTTAGGGCGGTTAGGCTGACTGAAATGTGTTTAAACGAAACGTATAGTAAAGCCCGTGTAGGTAAACATTTGTCTGATAATTTTCCTATCCAGAATGGTATAAAAGAAGGAGATGTTTTATCACAACTGCTTTTCAACTTTTCTTCAGAATATGCCACTAGGAAGGTCCAGGGAAACCAGGTGGGACTGAAATTAAACGGGACACATCAGCTGTTGGTCCATGCTGGTGATGTGAATCTACTGGGTGATAATATAAATAATCATACAGAAACACACACAAACTTTAATTGAGGTAGTAAGGAGGCTGGTCTAGAAGTAAACACAGAGAAAACTAAGTATATGTTGTCTCGCCAGCAGAATCAGGACATAAAGATAGGAAACAGATGTTTTGAAAATGTGGCACAGTTAAGATATTTGGGAAGGACTCTTAACAAATTAATGCCGGTCACGGTAACCGAGCGGTCTAAGGCATGTACTGTCTTCGCTCGCCTGGAAACCGGGATCGTGGGTTCGAATCCCACTCAGGGCATGGATGTTTAGTTTGTGTGTGTGCATTTTTCTGTGTTTGTGTACAGGTAGAGGCCTTGCGACGAGCTGATCACCCGCCCAAGGAGTCCTACCGAATGTGTAAGATCTAGAAAAACCGAAGTGAACGGAGAAGTTCATGGAGGTAGGCCTAGGCCCACTGGGGCTGTAGTGCCAAGGAAAAAAAAAATATAACAAATTAATACCTGATTCAGGAGGAAATTAAGAGGAGACTGAACTCGAGTAATGCTTGCTACCATTCAGTCAAGAACCTTTTGTCTTCTCGTCTGCTGTTTAAAAACATAAAAAACAGAATATACATGTACAAAACTATACTTTTGCCTGTGATTCTGTATGGGTGTGAAACTTGGTCTCTGTAATTAAGGGAGGAACGTAGACTGCATATAATCCTGTATTTAAGTATCCTGTTGCATTACTATATCTAAAACTGTTTATTTACTACACTGTCCATCAACAATGGAACAAATTGTTCCTTGTTTCTTAAAGTTTTACCTTCTACACAACATGTTTCGCCCCGAAATGGCCATCTTCAGGTGTCTATGCTAGAACTGCTACACTTCGCTAATATTATCAATTCGTCACGTATGCGACTGCGCGCTTCATGCTTCAAAACGTCATAATCGTAGTCTATCTGGTGTGCGCTAAAATAGCACACGCTGTAGTTCAATGAATTTATATCAAATAAAATCTATTAACATTTTCTTTAAAATCTGTAAAATTCTTATTACATATCACAAGAGTCGTTGTTCACTTATTTTGATATGTTTCCTCTTCTTCAGGTGTTTTATTGAGGCAGTCTGTTTTTCTGTTCGTAAGCCCGTTGTTGTGTTACATCTGCAATCTGTAATTTTGCCCTTGCTTGTGCGTTGTTCCTCCTAACAGCGTGTGGTGTTGTCTTCACGTAACAGAAGTGAGAGTCACAGAATTACTGGGGTTTGGGACTTTTTCCATCGTCCGGAATTCTAGGTAATAGAGGGCACCATCGTCAAACCCTTTAGAATCTACAAGTGAGGGTGTTTGAAGAGAATATTTGGACCGCAGCTGAATAATGAAAGCTTCATAACTTGTAATCTTCGCCAAGCACAATTAGAATGATCAAGTCAAGGACGAGATAGGCAGGGCTTGTAGCACAAATGGAGAAAAATGGAATGCATATAGGATACTGGTGGGAAAGACAGAAGGAAAGAAACCACTGGGAAGACCAAGCCGTAGGTGGGTGGACAATATTAAAATGGATGTTGGAGAGATAGGATGGGATAATATGGATTAAATTTATCTGGTTCAGGATAGGGACCAGTGGATGGATTTTGTGAACACCGAAATGAGCCTTTGAGTTACATAAAATATTGGGATGTTCCTGAGTGGCTGCAGAAGTGACGGCATCTCAAGAAGAGCTCAGGTTCATAAATGACAAGAGCCCTCCACTGGTCCCTATCCTGAGCCAGATAAATCCAGTCCATACCACCCCATCCCATCTCTTTAAAATCCATTTTAATATCATCCCACCTATATCTAGGTCTTCCTAATGGTCTGTTTCTTTCTTACTTTCATACGGAAATCCTATATGCATTCCTCTTATCCCCATGCGCGCTACACTCCCTGTCCATCTAATCTTCCTTCACTTGATCATTCCAAATATGGCCCTGGGGTCGACTCAGTCTCTAACAGAAATGCGTGCTTGGAATGTTCCTGGGGGTAAGAGCGGCAGGTGCGTAAGGCTGACCTCACCGGCATCTGTGAACCGACTGCCTATAAAATATGGGAGCCTCGACGTCTCACAACCCTATGGGCCTCCACGGCCCGTTACAGGGATAGGTTTACCATGTACCATTCTTTATGCATTACAAAAACTGTCTAGCATGTTCTCAAAGGAAGGTAATAAGTGTGTCTGTCCGCATGCGGGAGCCTTTACTGCCAATGAACAAATTATCATTAAATTTCACATTGAGGCATCTGACTGAAACATATCATAGTTTCGAACAGGCTAGGAAAAGCATAAAATGACGCTCTGCTTGTTGAACTAATACGCTTTTGCGACCATCTGTCCAACTCCGTTAATATTTGTTGACAGAAAAACGTTCAGTACAGGTGTTACGTAAAAAAATTAAACAAGTGTTTTATTCTGAATAAACATTACCGTAAACGCCGTGGTTTTAGAGATAATTACAGGAAAGGGAGCGTCTCCGCCAAAATCATTACTGTGTACGTATCTTGCACAGGATGGTACAAATATTCGAAGAGCACAAACAAACAACGAACTCCGTGGCTTTATCCCACAAGCGAACTATACCGACCGAGGGACCGCCGCTTGTCAGCGAAATTAGTCCAAACTTTAGCGGATAGAGGGTGTCGCGTGGTTAGGGCAACGAATCTCCACGGCCGTTAATTTCGGTTTTCTAGACCGTAGCCGCTATTTTTCCATTCAAATAGCTCATAAATTATTCTCACGAGGCTGAGCGGACTCCATTCTATACCAACTACTTCTGTGAAAAATCTGACAGCGCAGGGAATCGAATCCGTGACCTCTGGTTCTGTAGCCAGAAACTCTGACCTCTAGACCACAGAGGAGGTCACTCGGAGAGCACCCAAATTAATAATTATGAACCATGTAATAATTTGCCACTGAAAACGAAACCCGGCAACACTGACCCGGTGCCTGCCTGCCCTCTTCGTGTCATTTCCCTAAATGTGAGATTGCACTTCGTACCTTCGGTCGCGCTGATCGTAAAATGGGTCGGATAGCACGCAGATATATTTCATGTAGATTCCTTGCTTGGCTTACTCTTCGCTCCTGAAGACTGAGCTGATAAGTTCCTCCGAAACAACGGGTGATTTCCAATGGACTACACGGCGTTGTATCCCACGAGATGGAATTGTTGAAGGATAATTTACCACTGGGGAGTGAACAATGCATTTCTAATTAATTTGAACAAATGTGGTCGATGTGTTCGTGAAATTATGTTCATTCCTGTACAGCTGTTTCTGACAAAAACTGAGAGGACTCCACCAAGGTCATCCAAGGATAACCTACAGGACCTACAGTACGAGTTGGGTTGTTCAGGTAGAAGTTTCTGGTGGGTCAAAGAATGTTGTACGTTTAAGTTACTAGTATGATAAGACATATTTTGAGCTTAAAATGTTTGAAAATTAAGTGTTAACGGAAAGCAATATATATAGAAAGCAAGACTTGGTGATTTGCTGCGCTGTTGAGGGAGTTAAATGAATTAAGTTGCATGATTGGAGAATATAATCGGCAGGAAAAAATAAGCAAATATGCTCACTCACCCACTCATGTAGCTGAGNATTCTCCTTGACTTGATATATATATATATATATATATATAGAATTCTTGTGCGGAAGATTCATGGACACGGCGGCTTGGAAGTTAAAGATGGCTGGAAGGTATTAAAATTTGAAGAACAGCATGGTCTCAGGTTTTTAACGTAGTGGATTTTTACCGAATTACACGGCGTTACAGCCCAGAAGATAGTCCCCGTTGAGAGAACCTTAAGTCCGACATGGAAACTGATCTTCACTTCATGCATCCTGTTGTGTTATAATACAAAACTTCTTTATTAAAACCGTCACAACACAACTATATCGAGGTCAGTACCTAGTTTGGCTCTGCTACATGTTTCGGCTACTAAAAGCCATCATCAGGGAATATATAGAATACTCAAATTTGTCCGTGGAAACACAACAAAATCACAAAAACCAACAACTGATTCGATGATGTAAAGCATCACTTGAAGAATTTTTATCTTGTTTTATACCGTAACTTTCTTTTAATATTTAATGTACTTTTACGCCAAGTATTTTAACGTAATGTAATTAGTACTGCAGTTCAGTGGTGTATATATATATATTGGCCATGTATTTGACTGATTATGGCTTTTAGTAAAGCCATGTAAAAGTAAAGTAAAGTAAAGTAGAGTAAAGTAAAGTAAAGTAAAGTAAAGCTAGAGGCCATGAAGGCCCATAGGGTTGCGAGACTTCGAGGCACCCACATTATCTAGACAATCGGCTCAAAGATGGCGGTAAGTTTGTCAGCCTTACGCGACGGCCGCGCTTTACTCCCCAGGAAAATTATTTAATTAATTCCTGGTACTCATTTCTGTTAGAGGCTGAGTGAACCCCAGGGCCATAGTGCTTAGTGGTTAACGCGGAGTCCAACAGTTTCCTTAATAGAACAACAGTCAAGTTTTCATCTTGAAAACGCTGGTAAGAAATAAAGCGTCAAAATTCTGCCGCCTGGAATAAAGCGGTTTAAGATGTAAATAATTCAATATTGATTCATAATTACAAAGATAACTGGGCTAAATAAATCGACTTACTACTACTACTACTACTACTACTACTACTAATAACAACAACAGCAACACAAAGGCAACAGGAGAACGACTCTCACCAATGAAATAAACGTACCGTACACATCAAATTCGTCCTTTGCATATCTGCATATCTCGCTGGCCTTGATAATAATAACCTTATAAGAATTAGGCTGTACTATTGCAAATCTAAAATGTTCCTGTAGTTCCTGTACAGTCACGAAATTGCAATTCTGCATAATGTTGCAGGCCCCTATCAGTCTGTACGGTGACAGCAAGAACCTAAATAGCTTTACAGCCTCCCTGCACCTACAGTAAGCTATAAAATGTTCCTGTACAATCACGAAATTGCAATTCTGCATAATGTTGCAGGCCCCTATCAGTCTGTACGGTGACAGCAAGAACCTAAATAGCTTTACAGCCTCCCTGCACCTACAGTAAGCTATAAAATGTTCCTGTACAATCACGAAATTGCAATTCTGCATAATGTTGCAGGCCCCTATCAGTCTGTACGGTGACAGCAAGAACCTAAATAGCTTTACAGCCTCCCTGCACCTACAGTAAGCTATAAAATGTTCCTGTACAATCACGAAATTGCAATTCTGCATAATGTTGCAGGCCCCTATCAGTCTGTACGGTGACAGCAAGAACCTAAATAGCTTTACAGCCTCCCTGCACCTACAGTAAGCTATAAAATGTTCCTGTACAATCACGAAATTGCAATTCTGCATAATGTTGCAGGCCCCTATCAGTCTGTACGGTGACAGCAAGAACCTAAATAGCTTTACAGCCTCCCTGCACCTACAGTAAGCTATAAAATGTTCCTGTACAATCACGAAATTGCAATTCTGCATAATGTTGCAGGCCCCTATCAGTCTGTACGGTGACAGCAAGAACCTAAATAGCTTTACAGCCTCCCTGCACCTACAGTAAGCTATAAAATGTTCCTGTACAATCACGAAATTGCAATTCTGCATAATGTTGCAGGCCCCTATCAGTCTGTACGGTGACAGCAAGAACCTAAATAGCTTTACAGCCTCCCTGCACCTACAGTAAGCTATAAAATGTTCCTGTACAATCACGAAATTGCAATTCTGCATAATGTTGCAGGCCCCTATCAGTCTGTACGGTGACAGCAAGAACCTAAATAGCTTTACAGCCTCCCTGCACCTACAGTAAGCTATAAAATGTTCCTGTACAATCACGAAAAGTGCAGGTCTGCAACTGTTGCAGGTCCCTATCAGTTTCTACGGTGACAGCAGGAACCTAAATAGCTTTGCAGCGTCTCTACACCTACAGTAAGCTATAAAATGTTACTGTACAGTTACGAAGAAACTCGCAAATCTAATGCCGGTTACTTTTACGTTTTCCGAAAGCAGTTACATCGTCTTGCAGACTTATCAAAACTGCGTGGATTTCAAATGATTCTCAAGAATGTGGTCGTGACGCATAGTTACAGAAACCATGCTTAGCAATGGCCTCTGTGGTTATTGCACTTCTAGACACCATGGAGATCACGTGACAGGAAATCCAAAGTGTTCGAGATAAGCAACGTCAGTAGGTCTGTCTGTCTAGCAGGCGCAGTGTAGAGGGTGACAGTGTTGTGTGAGGTTTGGAAGTAGTCTTGCGTACGGGATAATTTTGGTCTGACAATTTGCTAGCAAGAGGATCATCATTGTAACAGGTATAATTCCCATTTCTGGCTTCCACTAAACATCTGGTGAGTCACGGGAATTCAATTTACAGTCAACCTTGAATCATGTCGCATGTAAGAATATGTGTAATTTTTACTTCTGCATACGGGGTTATCGCAGCGCCGCGTAGTCCGGCGAGTATCAACCGACGTTTCGGAGGTATATAACCGGCTAAATTTTCATGTTCAATTGCTATCCAAGCAAGAATCCAACAAGGAGCATGTTGCAAGTAGAGTCTACGCACTGATATACGTAAGTTGCTTTAAGATTGTAACGTTAACAGAGCTATGCTTTGTGCCTGTTTCATGCAGGTTTCTTGCTTGGATTTCTCTTGACCCTGAACATTGAAACCCATGTTAAGCAAGGTAAAGCAAAGCTATCCCTGTAACAGAACGTGGAGGCCTATAGGCGCGAGACGTCGAGGCTCCCACATTTTCTAGACAATCGGCTCACAAATAGCGTTGAGGTCGTCAGCCTTACGCGCCGGCCGCCCTTCAGCCCCAGGTAGATTCCTGGTACTCATTTCTTTTAGAGGCTGAGTCGACCCCAGGGCCATAGTGCGGCTGGAAGGACCTAATCCTTCCAGTCGCACTGTTTTGCTCATTGTTTCAACCTGTTTCTGATGAAATAGAAATTTTCATGGCTGCCACATAAACAGTATACACTCCGTCATGTAATCTTATGCACATATTTCGATCATCAGGTGGGTCAAACATATTTAGTATCTGCGATATCAGAAAGGGGTTAATTATTTGTTTAGTTAGCTATCTAGTTTGTGTGTTTGTCATGTTTATAGTTGTCTTGTTGGTTTATTATTAAGCCACTTTATTGGTTCGTAACAAACTTACTAACTGTATGCAGCGGAGACCATCCGCAGAAGCTAATAATCGTTTAGCTTGTCAGGAGATTCCCCATAATTTACGGAACACAAAAGTTACCGCCAAGTGCGGTGGTACCAGCACGGGTGAGTTTGTGCCACGTTACGTTACCACAACCAGAAGCCATTTAATCACCTGTGCTATTAACTAGAACAGAAGGAACAAATTCAAATTCAACCGTGCTGGCACAGACAGTCATTGTTTGCAGTAGTCCGCCACTGCTAACTTGTGAACAAAATGAATCCACCCCTGACACTTACACCCTGATTTCTGAAGACTCTTCTTAGTGCTGTCTTACGGCTGTTTTTTTCCGAGTGTTTTTTCATTGTTTCTAGATAGACCTCTACTCAGATTGGGCCACGCTGTAGCGTAGTTTGTTGAGAGACTATGCTACAAGCTGGAAGGTCGCGGGTTCGATTCCGGATTAGGTCGTTGGATTTTTCAGTTGACCTAATCCTTCCAGCCGCACTATGATCCTGGAGTTGACTCGGACTCTAACAGAAATGAGTACCAGGGATCTTCCTGGGGGTTAAATGGAGGCCGATGCGTAAGGCTGACCTCACCGCCATCTATGAGCCGACTGTCTAGAGAAAATGTGGGAGCCTCGACGTCTCACAACCATATGGGCCTTCACGGCCTCTTACAGGATTAGCTTTACCTTTTTATTATTTCTACCCTAGTCAGATTTGCGGTGACGATGAAAGCTGCTGTATTCTGGGATGTGACGCCATGAAGTTTGGTAGATTAACTTTTCGGATGCATTTCACGCCTTCATCTTGGAGAAAGACGAAGGTGGGGTCAAAGTTCCCCCAAAACGATGGTTACGAACTACCATGCTGTACGGAGTCACAGGACAGTAATCTTCAAAACTTTGTGTTTCTCATCCTTCGTAGATGCTACGTGCCCCCGTACTTAGGGCCTTTGATTTCACGATGCGAATGATGTTCGGCGAAGAGCGTTAAATTGTGAAACTTTTGTGAAATTTGAGGATCTGGCAGTTGGTAACCACGAAGTCTGGCAAAAAGTTCAGGACGTTTCGGAGGAACTTACTGCTCTCCGTCTTCATTGTCGAAGAGAAAGCCAAGAAAAAAGCAGCTGACAGCTTGGCTTACCCTTTGACACTGAAGGTAGAGGCAGCAACTGCCTCCGAAGCATCTGTAAACTTCTATCAGACCATAAGGTGCCATGTTTCAGGCAACAGAACAATTGTGATACCCCTTATAACTGTCGAACACAACTTTAAGGGCGCGTTATTAGTGACACAGATCTTTATTTCGTCGTTAGAAAGTTATTAGACTCTGTTTTGAACTTATGATGGGAATTTAAGCTATACGGTAGTACCTGTTGAAATCGCAGGACTTTATTTCCGAAAAATTACCTACTATGAGTCCACACCGGCTCTTGGGCCCACCCAGCCTCCTCTACAGTGGATACCGGGGGCACTTTCCCCGGGGGTGAGGTGGCCGGGGCGTGAAGCTGGCCACTTCCCTCAAACTAGTGCTGAGGTCAAGAAAATGTGGATCTATACATCCACTCCCCCATACGCCTTTTGCTTTCCACTTACCTACCATGATGTGTACCCCCAAAAGACAAATTTTTTGTAGAAAGCAGTGCCTGGACATCGGCTACGCTATGGACTGGAGGACCGAGGAGTCTAGTTCGATTCCCAGTAAGGGCAAGATATTTTTCTCTTCTCCGAAACGTCCAGATCTGCTCTGGGTTCCACTTATCCTATATAATACGTACTGGGGGCTGTTTCCGCTAGTATAAACCGGCATGGGCATGAAATTGGCCTCCTTCCTAGCCTTAAGAATGCGTGGAGCTATACCTCCACTCTGTCTTCATGGCATGGCGCTTAATTAAGTCCAGGGATAGTTTTAACTTACCGTTCACCTCAACTTGTGACAGTCACGTTTTTTAAGTTACTGTAATGTTTATTTTTATACAGGAACAGAATGAATACACTGAGTGAGGATTTCTTGAAGGAACTGGAGTGCCCGGTGTGCATGGAGTACATGGCGTCTCCCATCATGATGTGTAAGAGTGGACACAACATCTGCAACAGCTGCAGGCCGAAACTGAAGGAGTGCCCCACATGCAGGCAGCCCTTCCTCAACGTACGGAACAAAGCCCTTGAGAATCTATCTCTGCTGGCCAAGTACCCCTGCCCATACAAGAGATACGGTTGCCAACTGGTATTTACACAGGAGCGTATCACAGAACATCAGACTGTTTGCCCTTATCGTAGCTATAATTGTCCACTTTCAGAGGCGGAGGGAATAATGTGTAAGTGGATAGGCATACGAGAAGATATGAGAGAACATATTGAGGCACAACATCGAAACAGACTGACACAAGTAGATTTCCTGAAGGAAGTTTTATTAAGGAAATACAGACCTGAAATTAAATATTCAAGAGTGATTTTTGCTTGTGATGAAGTATTTTACCAGCAGTTTGAAGTGATAGATAATGTTTTTTATTTTGTAATCCAGCATATCGGACCAGAAAATTATGATTTGAAATTTCAGTACAACTTCACATTGGCATCACAGGAACACGAGGAGTCTATATCGATATCGTTTGTAGCTCGGAGTTGCAAACTCGATATCGCGACGATACATCGATCAGGACAGTGTGTAAAACTGTGTTTTGACACAGTCAAAAATTTTCTTAATGAAAATAACAGTTTAAAATTCGAGTTTTATATTAGGCAACTATAACGTGAAGAGATGTTTCACAATCCTCCAACAAAGAGATGACTGCGCAGATAACCGAGTCTTAGCGACGTTATTTGTGGAAGACGAAAACATTGGCATAATTTCACGAGTGTCTTTAGTATTTTGGATTTGAGGGTTTTCACAGCTGTGACTATCAACAGTTCTATCTTAGGGACTATAAAGCTGTGTAGTGGGTTTAAGTATAATAATGTTTCGGTGTAACATATCTCATCCATTTTCAAGAGTGAGTCAAAAAACCAGTATCAGGCGGGCAACAAGGAAAGCGCTGCTTACTCTGCAACCCGGATTGTAGAGGCAATATGTTTCTCCTCCACGTCACTGGACTTTCACCAGACTACACGGCGTTATGTTATGGAAGAGAGAACTCGTCCCTTGGTGTAAAGGCCGCAGTCCGGTAAGAATAGGCTATGCAGGTTCTGGTTTCTGGAGCCTTGGGATTATTCTGTAGGATCTGAGGTCCTCACAGCTGTAGGATATAACGCCGTTTAGTCCGTTGAAAATCAGCTGACGTTTCGGAGGAACATATCACCACCATCTTCAGGGTCTAAGAATAACGTGAACAACAAACTAGCTCTGCTTGCCATCTGCGTTCACATTGGTATCTTGCTCGGCTTATTCAGCCTTTATGATGGAGGTGATATGTTCCTCCGAAACGGCGCTGTATCCTAGAAGATCATTATGTTCAACAACAAAATTGCCTGCTCGACCAAAGATACGTAAGAAATCTCGTTAGTCTGTTAGGAGGGTAAGTCCCAAAGACTGTACCACATTCTACTGAGCGCTGTGTGCAGTAACAGGGATTCTAAAATGAGCGAATTTCAATTTAATTTATAACGCGGGTATTTAAGTTGGTCCTAGATAATCGCTTTATAAAAAGTCTAGTGTATTATTATTTGGCATATCACGTTTTTATCCCCCTTTTTTATCTTTTTGCAAGAAATCCACGGGTGAGATGGCGTATCCCCCTATTCCACCCTGCGTCTATGATGTACAAGTATTGACTCCTGTCACATTCGGTAGTGATGCCACAGGTTTACTGTTCGCGGGCTTAAAGCTCACGCACTGAGGAGATGCTCATGTCTTATCCATATTCAGAAAGTACTGAAAGGATTTCCATAAAATTTGGTACTTGGAGTTTACAAACAAAAAAGTTTGTTACTCAGAAAGTACTACTGAACGAATTTCCATAAAATTTGGTATTGGGGGGGGGGNGGGTGTTAACTTAAAAAAAAAAAAGCTTGGGTCATTTGTATTTTGATCCTATCGGTTCAATGTAAACTCAAAACGATCGTTATTCACTTTCTCAATAATGGCTCGTATTTTCCGGGATATGTCCGTGACTTCTGGTAGAATTTAGGCGACATTTCGGAAGAATGCGAAGCATAAGCCAAGCACACTTGCTGTTTGTTTCGTGTTTGTATGGCGTACTCTTCGAGCATTAAGATGGAAGCAGTACTTCATCCGAAACGTCGGTAAACTTGAACCGAACTACATGGCGTCACAACCCAGAAGATAGTAACTTTTCATAGTCACCGCCGTCATAACCTCAAGTCAAAAAACTGGTACATGGTTTAACATACAGAACTTAAAAGGCCACAGGTTTACTACTAACTACTACTAATACTCCTACAATCATCATTTTACGTAACTTACAACAGACGCTAGTATTGCGTCTAGCCAACCAATAACAAGTAACGTCTCTTATTCTAACCTGTTCCCCAGGAAGTTGGCTAAGCAGTAACACATGACATACATTATTGAGCTGGCTGGTTCATTACCTAAGCCCAGGACACTGGCTACCGAACTGCGCTTCCGTGGTTTTCCTCTGCTACTCGACGAATGCCGGGATAGTACTTAAACTTGGCTATGAACACTTCCCACCGAATTATATCCTGTTTATTATTCACTTAAAGTAAAATGTAAAGTTGTTCGTTAGCTTAATTAAGCACTACGCCATGAAGATGTTGGTGGTGTGTAGGTATAGCTACACCATTCTTAACATCGGTCCTAGGTAGACGTGAGTAATCAGCTTCACGTCTCGGCCCCTTTACCCAGGAGAGAACCCCCCCCCCCCATACCCCTAGAGCCGTCTCATTGCCATGGAGTAGAGAAAATTCTTGACCCTTCCGGGAATGTAACCTTGGCCGTCCAGCCCTTAGTCGGTCTTAAATCTCCACCAATAAATAAATAATTCAGTAACCAAATAACTAAATAATTATAAATAAATTTGTCCCTGTAACATAGAAGCCCATAGGGTTGTGAAAAGTCGAGGCTTCCACGTTTTCTAGGCAGCCGGTTCACAGATAGTTAAAGTAACAAAGTAAGCTACGGAACTTGGGCACTGTCACCCTGATATAGGATCTTTACGGGGCAGCAGATACATATCCGATATTCCCAGCTATAGAACTAGAAGTTTCACTATTAAAGCCCCCAAGGCTGTGTCGTGAATTCAGCTTGTACACTTTTTGGCACATCTTATAACACAATGTAGTGTATATAGTATGGAATATTCATTTCATAGGTTTTCAAAACAACTGCGAACTGCCCCTTAACAGGTGAAGATGACTGTAAGATGGAAATGACAGAAAACTTATGAACTTTGAGATCGAAACGGGCCGTTTCAGTCACCGAACTTCTCGACATGACTGGAATTCACGCCCATCATTACTAAGGCATAGCTGTGACGCGGAGTCATCCTGTAGTTTCATGGTGTATCGTTACTGAGAGCGGCCTCCAACAAACAAACTAATATATCTGTCAATCTCAAAGCCCGCTAATGAACACGATTCTGAACCACTACACTTAACCTGATATCCGTTTAGATACAGTTTAGCAGTGTCTTACCACCTTTAACCAGTAGACCTATTTAAAATTTTTATTGAGTGGGTACCGGGGGTAAAGCGGCTGGGGCGTGAAGCTGACCATTCACCTCCAACTAGTGCCGAGGTTTAAGAGATCTTGGATCTATAAATCCACTCCCCTATAGTCTTCATGGAATAGTGCGTAATTAGTTAAGCACAGGGACAACTTTGACTTTATATATTTATCCCTTTTAATATATCTGTTACCTATCGTGACAGTTCACTATCCTTAAACTATCTGAGCCATACAAGTCACACAGTTCCATGATATGTAATATTCTCCTTCACCAACTTCATCCCTCTTCTGGTAACTATACGTACCATCAGCTTGAACACTAAGAAACTCTGTATATTGCCCCACACATGTTTGTGTAAGATTTTCTAAGTAAACAGCAGTAGTGCTACAGTATGTTTTCTGTAAAGTAGGAAATTAATTCTTATATATTATTTAGATCAAATTAGGACTTAAAAAGGAGGATTAAGTCCAGCTTTATTCCTGTCCAGTTTATTTTGAAAGGCATTAAATTTATTTTATTCCAACGAAGTTAACAGTGTGTTACTAATGCTCTACATGCTACTAACGAGTTGTGTCGATTTGAAATGGGTTCTCCACAATATATATATATAATCTTTTGTATGTGGGATTAGCAATGAAAATAAATCTGTCTTGTTATCTGTTCACACTTATAATTTCAATACGAAAATATAGTTTATAAGATATATTACAAGATAAATGGAAGCACCCAATAAAAATCAACGGGGAATAACTTTATTCCGTATTTTCATTCGTCAACCCATCTAATTTATATCTTTGATACCTTTATCTCACTTCGTCCTTGCTCTGTTAAGCAGTGAATTAAATTCGATCCTACTTCAGATGGCAGTTTCAAGACATAAGCTGCCACAAATGTAAATAGGCGACAGTTACTGTGGCGTGAAGACGCTGTAATGCACATACATAGTCGCATTATACGTATATAGAGAGACAGTTTTCTCTTTTTAACTTTGTTGACAGGTTTACGGCGATCGGTGTGCCGCTTCGAGGCGTATACGAATTTTGTCGATAAATCAGCATGCCTGATGACCGATAACATTTGAAATAAAAGGAAATAATTTGTGGAGCGCTTGACGGCATTATGTTTCACGGCGATTAGTTCTGTTGATACGTGGAAGTTTGTTTATGATTTGTCAGCTGTAGGCAGAAGTTATCAGCTCTGTTAGCCGCTAGTTCTCAGTTATAGTTAGTGAGCAGAGTTGTACGTCATGGTGCAGTATATTTTACAGCAGTGTATTTCTGTATGACACCTATATGACATTCGGATCTGCTAGAGAGAGTCTGCGAAAATTTCGTGATGAAATAATAAACTTAGCTTCACGGGACTCTAAACAGATAAGAAACAAAAAACATAAGAGCCGAGTGTTTATTGAGAAGTTAGATGACATAGGGGTCACACTTAAACATGCACCTAGAAAATCACTGAAACGTCTAGCTCAAGAGACTGGAGTGTTAAAACTCTAGTGCAAGAACGGCAACACAATTGTTGAAGTTTAGACCCTATAAAACCGCAGTAAACCCCGCACGCCTTGCAGGCACGCGATCCAGCTAGCAGTGTTCATTTTTGCAGTCGGTTTCTACAGTCTGTCGTCAAAGGTGAGATCGGTCCGCAATTCACAGGGACAGTACCTGTTTTCAACATCTCCTGTGATCTGTGAATTGTAACTACTTTATTCCGAACGGTATCGGCCATCAGGCATGCGCCTCGCAGCCGGCAGTGCATCAGTCGCCTTAAAGCACAGCCGTGGAACCGGTCAACAAAGTAAAAAAACCATCCCTGTGTAATATATATTCCCTGAAAATAAACTTTTGTATTGCTACTAACGAGATATGTCGCTTTCAAATGTGACAAAAGCTAATCTTCAATGTACAGCATTTCCGGAACACAATGATCATCATTATCAGTGAAAATAAACAGAATGTTAACATGGACAGGGTTAAACACAGCTGTAAATAAGGAAAGCAAGAACAGCCGGATGTGACTCAGTAATGACGTCACGAGTGTGTTTGTCAGATAACAGTTTCCGTTAGAATTAAGGCTGCTGTCACGAGGTGTTAACAGCAGTCTCAGAGCGGGAGCCAGTTTGTAGAGAACGAAGTGTGTTCAACAGGCCTTCAGGTAAGTTCAATGGATTGAACAGGTTCAAAGTTAGACTTGAAAGGATTCTGACGATGGTGTATACTGTACTCGTACTTCTTTTGGCTTGTTTTGGAGTTCATCCATCGTTTGGTATGTAAAAGACAAAAGACCACGACGTTTCGGAGACTGGATCTGTCTCCATCTTCAGGTGGGTAGGGAAGGATAAAGCTACTCAATTGGGCCCGTTAGAAAGAGCTAGTCTCAATCACTGGACGTGAGAAGTACAGGTTCAAAGTTCTCCAACCTGCAACAGTAATTTATGGCTGCAGACTTCTTACTTACTGTCCGTCTGTTCAGTCCTGGGCGTTCTCAGCATATTGCGCAATTGATCTGGTGCAGTCCACTAACTTAAATGAGGACTAAGCGGCCTCCGTAGTCTAGAGGTAACGTTCCCACCTCATGACTCGTACGCGGGTTCAAACCCGGCGGAGGTCGTGGAATTTTAAGGGCGGAAAAATTCAGGGCACAAGTCCTCCGGGAGGGACATTAAGCCGTGGGTCCCGTGTCGCAGCTTTACGGCACGTAAAAGAACCTCATATCTCCAAAGGAGGTCACTGAGCCAAATTCAAGGACATTTCCCGCCCAGCAGTAGTCTCTAACGCCTCTGATAGATGGGGGAAGCATTATAGATACCGCTAAGCCAGTAGAGGCCGAACTCGCTGGCTCGGTCGGGACTGATGGAACGAACCAATATCGATAGGGTATAGAGACTGGTAGAATATCATAGAGGGAAGCACAATGGACCAATACTGGTCTAAGTGCATGGGGAAACCCACCCTCTCCAATAACTAACTATCTAAATGAGGACTGTCTTAGAGTGCGTCACCCTTCCTCACAGAAATCAGCTGCAAACAACTGTTCTGCTGCAATATTTCCAACAGTTAACCCAGAGGTCAGGTGTAAAACTCTATGATACGCACACTACTCAACTTTCAGAACACAACGAAATCTCGTTGCCTGTCGCTGTAAAGGGGGGGGGGGAAATGTCGGCAAGAAACTGGGAACAAAGCGTAGAAATCTTTCTTTTCTACTTAATAATGTTCTACAGATTTACGCGGTAGCGTAGTTGGTTGAGGCACTATGCTGCAAGCCAGAAGATCGCGGGTTCTACTCCCGATGAGATGGATTTTTCAATTGACTCAACCCTTTCAGCCGCACTGTGGTCCTGGGGTTGACTCTGCCTCTAACCTCCTGGGGGGTAAAGGGCGGTCGGCGCGTAAGACTCTCAACCTAACCGCCATCTATGAGCCGATTGTCTAGAAAATGTGGGAACCTCAACATCTCGCAACCCTATGGTCTTCCACGACTTGTTACAGTGATAGCTTAATACAGATGTATTAAAAAAACTCCGTGATTTTAGTCCGCAACTATACCGACCGAGCGACCGCCGCTTGTAGACGAAGTTAGTGCCAACTTTTGCGGGTAGAGGGTGTCGCGTGGTCAGTGCAGCGAATGCCGACGGATGTTAATTTCGGTTTTCTAGACCGGAGTCGCTATTTCCTTGAAATAGCTCCTCAGTTATCATCACGAGGATGAGTGGACCCCGTTCCAGACCCACTACTTCTCAGGAAATCTGGTAGCGCCGGAAATCGATCCCGGACCTCTGGATGTGTAGCCAGGAACTCTGACCACTAGACCACAGAGGCTGTTTTTACAGATGCATTACTTTCTTTAATTTTTCATGTACTCACATGTATGAGATGGAATTTTGATGGTGGAGAAATGAATCTAGTGCTTATCATGGGTTTAAACGTATTTACCCACCCAAATTTGGAAGAAGCTGGTTCTTGGTATGCCGTCTTGCCTCCACGTATGTACTAATGTTTCGCTGGCGCCTGAACGGATTTTGTTCATATTCGATATCTGAGAATTTATCCATAAGTTGGTGACCAGTGAATAGGGGCATTCCATCTCCAAAGATATTTGCCCTCCAAATGGGCGTCACACCACAAAATTGCGGATTTTTTAAGAAGGGCTGTATCGATTTTGATTCAATTTTAGTAACTTACGGAGATTGGTACACCATCTAGCTTCCCAAACTCAAAATATCAATTTGTCGAAAGCTGTTTGATCGACTTTGACAAAATTTAATAGTCTATAGGGCAAAAATCCCTCCAAACGTCTCTTCTTTTTAGTTCAAAAAAATGCCAACAGGTGTCACATGCTGTCATTTATAAATTTTTGTAATGGCTGACATTTTCCACACGTGGAACTTTTTAGTGTTATATGCCATAAACATCCACTTAACTAAGCATTTCATGTTGGAATTCCTCTCCAGATATGCCAAACAACGTGCGGAGCCCTGTGAATAATCCACCAGAAGAGGGTCTGTGCGAAAGTCTCTTGATGGAGTTGGAATGCCCTGTGTGCGGCGAGCACATGATCCCGCCCATCACACTCTGTGAAAGCGGTCACAATACCTGTAGCAGGTGCAAACCCAAACTGAAGAAGTGTCCAACTTGTAGGCAACAACTTCTGGCTATACGAAACCTCACTTTGGAGAACCTCACGAACAAAATCAAGTATCCCTGTCGTAACCACAAGACTGGGTGTGATGAATTACTTCCTTTAGACCAGATCATCCAGCATCAAGCAGTTTGTCTTTATAGATTTTATGACTGTCCATTAGCCAAGGCACCTGGAGTATTGTGCCTGTGGCAAGGTCCTTGGAGCGAAGTCAAGAAACACATTGACATAAATCATAAAGATAGGGTTACCGAAGAAATCAGTAAACTCTCTGTTCATATCAGAGATTTTAAATCCACTTACAAATACTGTAGGGTCATATATGCCTTGGGGGAGGTTTTCTATCAACAATTTGAGGTTATTGCAAATAACTTCTACTTTGTGGTCCAATATGTGGGGCCAGAAGATGCTGCTTACAGATACAAATATGAGTTCACTCTGAGTTCCACGTCAGGTGATGAGAAGATACAAGTGTCACAGGTGACTCGAAGCGTGAAAATTAATATTGATGAAATCTGTCAGTCAGGAAAGTGTATCAAGTTACATTATGATGTTGTCAAGAATTTCTTAGAAGAAAATACCATGGAGTTTGAAATGGAAATATCGAAAGCAAGAGTCGAAGAAAAATCTTGAAAGACAGTTCACCCCATCTCAAGGTTAAGTTATGTGGAGAGCCGACGGCGGAACTGAAGAACAGTTTGCTTCATTATCCCCTTTACTACCATTATCTTCCACTTCGCCATGTATTTTCGCTCTCTTCCTAATTGATTTCCTCATCTCCTTGTCTTCCATATCATCTTTCTCATTTTCTCTTCTCTCCTTCGTTTCCTAATCTTCATTTTCCTCCTTTAAATTTCTTCTCCCTTCTATCCTAATCTTCTCCTCCTACTGCGCCTTTTTTAAAGCCCTTCCTGTCCATTTCCTTTCTTCATTGTCCTCCTGTGCCTTCCTTCTCAGTCCCTTTATCTCCCACTTTCCGCTTCTACACCCTCTTACCATTTTCCTTCTTTTCCACTTTATTAGCCTACTCTCCTTATTTTGAAAGAATAAGAGGAAGCTTATGAGATCACCTTGCTGTCTGTGTATCCGTCTGTATCTGTCCATCTGTCTATGTATCTCCCATGATTATTGAGACTTAAAAGATCTCTCTTGTTTTCTGCGTACCCTCCTTTGGGGGGGGGGTCATGTAGTATAATAGCAAAGCAGGTGATTAGTTCTTCCCAGAACGTGTTATGTATATTATGAGACCACCTTGTTTTTTCTCTAGTATTGAGAGTCTCCTATGATATTTGAGGCTTATGATATTGCCTTTGTGTCTATGTGCCCCCTATTTTTTTTCCGTTTTCTCTGCGGTTTAAGTAATCTCAAAAAGAAGTATGTGATTGTTCTTCCCAGAATTTCCTGTTCTCCTACACATTCTCCCTTCTGTCCCTGTAATGCCCCAGCGGCGCAGGGGGGGCATGGAGGTATCCCTCCCGCTGCTGCCGCCGCTGTAATGCCGTGGTACAGGGGGGGGGG